CACTTCATGGGGGGAAACTAGTAATTATATCCACGATAAGTGCGAGCTCCGCAGTCGAGTTGGACTACAACCAAATCCACACAGAACGCGTTCGTGTCCATTTGAAGGTGAAAGCAATGTTGAGTAAGCAAATGAAACTGTCTGTTTTGCATGAAACGCTACTCATGAGAAATCGGTGTCGCATAGTAGTCATCCAGAAATCGCTGGGGAGTTTGTCAGCACCGGTGAATCTGACCGACAGCTGGAACTAATCAGAGAACATCTTAAAACGATGCGGGGAAAACTTCAAATAATCGGCAGGCATCTTGAAATAATGGTCAGCCAACTTGAAATCATTCTCGGACACCTTAAAATGAACCGGGGACATTATGATGGAATATTGGAACAACTTGACTTGCAAAAGCTATAAGTCATTCTGACCGTTGACCTTGATCGGAATGCAGCCTAAATAGCTGAACGCTGACTTTGTTAGCGGAAGAAGACTCCTTTTGATGCACCACGTTTCTCCGCTGGTCCCATTTATGTTTCTATATATCTAAATCCCAAATTATTTATTGAAGTTGCAATACCATCTGATTATGCATTGAAACAGAAAGTATGCACGCATGAACGTTTATAACTATTTATTATTAAACATTTGTTGTTCACAATACTATGGCATTTCAAGGTATCTCGTCATCTCTGTTAATTTCGGTTTTGGCGCGTCACACAGTCACTAGGATGAGCTTCTAGTGTGATATCCTTCATAAAAGAATCGGCTTCAAAGATTTTGAAGAAAGTTTCATTTTCAGTCAACAGTCACGATTACATCACTTCATTGAACTGAACTATATGTCGAACATATCAATTTCAAGTACACTCTAGTCTGATCGAATATCAGTTGAACGATCTGCTTTGTATCTAGATGCTTGATTCCCCTTTTCCAACAGGATTTCGTTAGACTACTCTATGTTTGGAATGAGCTGTGTTTTTTGGCGGTGGGAAATTGAAAGGCATTAACTCAAATTAATTTCGTCTTGCATTCTTCCCCGCTGACTCTATTGCTCTCTCGAAATGTTAAAGAAACAGATTTATTTACCGAGGAGGCCTCTGAAACACATCTATAAATGTATTGGCATCTTCAAAAAAGCTCTCAGATACTACCATAGACACCGACATACATGTGCCTATTGCATTACCAAAATTCTCTCAAATACGTACCACCCATTAGACAACGAATCTTCAAAAGCTGTATCTACTGAATCCACACGCTCAAGATTTAAACTTTTATTTTCACGAATCTCTTATTATCATAATTCTGTTTTGCCATATCTAGCACATTTACTTATTGACAAGCGGAACGTTTTCATAGAATTTTGTCAGTGACAAACACAAAATCCAATGGTTTCAATTTCATTATGTATGACTTTGCTAACCTGAATCCACAAATATGCTGTAAGCGATGAAAGGTAAACCATCCGGGTGCATAAGTGACACAAGTTGGATCAAAAGTCTGATTTTATTATCGTTCAATAAGGACGAATGTTGCCAATACACAGATTTATAATGGATAGGAGGAACACCTTTTGCAACGATAATATCTAAAGGTCATCAAAACGGGGTTATTATTGGTTTTGGTACAGTTTATTGGTAGTAATAATTTATGCTTCATTTGAGCACCACAAGTATCTTCGGAATTTAAGATTCAGCATGTTGAGGCTTTCCATCCCCAGTATTCCTCTCATCATTTTTTCTACTATTCTCGTCTCAAGCATTGAATGATATGTTTCCAATTCCCCAACAATAATGAACGATGTGTTTCAAAATCCCACATCGGATATTCAGTTCACTTGCTTGCTATGAATTTGCATCACTCACTCCACGAACGCTCGTGTTGAGTGACAATGAACAAAACGTGTATGCTGCGAACATTACCTTTTATTGTTTATTGATTTCTTAAACGTTTTTTCACACAGTTGATTTCTTATGGTCCACATGTGTTTATTTCCTGTTTCTGTAATTGTTAACTGATATGCTAATCTCAGGCCAATTAATTCATAGCCGACAGCAGTGAAGTAAACACGTGTCTGCGAAATGCTGTGCCGTCAAACAACACATCACCATTGCGTACCCATGTTTTGTTTAAAGCTGCAGTCTCAGAGGCGGGACTGAAATGAGGTTTCTTATTACACGCAACCAACGTCAAATGGGCGAGGTGTGCTATGTTTGCGGGTTATCTGAATGGACTTATACTACTACTACTACCACTACTACTAATATTACTAATACCATTAATGCTACTAATAATTCTGCCACTACTACTAATACTACTACCACTACTAATACTAATACTAGTGGTACTACTGCTAAAACAATAACAGCAACAAACAACTACTACCATGGGGATCAAAGATCAAGGATAAATTCTCAATAAATAGTTCATCTTATACATGCAGCTGAATCATTTGTCCGTCAGCGAACACTCATCTGCTTTATGCTGCATGAAGAGATTAATCTTAGGTGCAAACTGTGGGGTTCGGCCGATTACTGATGACAACATTCTTATATGTATGTTGTGGAAATTCACCAGCATCAATCGGATTCGACTCCAGTAGTTCTGCGCAATTGTAAGTAATCGTTATACGAAAGCAGTTGGAAGAACAAAAATCTTTGGATATTTTCATGTTGGACATATTTTGAACAAATATCCAAATCCTAAAGGTTTATCAAATTGATTACACTAACTTTTAGGACAAATCTGTCGTTAATCACAATTTATCGATGAACTCAATATTGCGTTCTATCAAAAACCTTCTTGCACCTCATTTTTAACTAACCACCTAATCGCTTGAGTATTCTCATGAAAGCATTGAGTAATTGTTTTTCGGATGTTCCTATTAATGCTATTCTTACATATGATATAGTAGAAAAATTCTTACATAATTATATCCACTAACCCACTTTAAGTTCCTTAATCGGAGGCAGAGAGCAATGGAAGGAATGTTTAGCGTGTTAGTTAATGTGATCTTTCCATATCTGAGTCAGGTGACACCTATTGTTCTGTCTTGGTTTTCACACCCGGCCATAGCAATTAGAGCGTCTGGAACAGTCGTTTTTGGGCACACAGATTAGGACCTAGGAATCGAATGGCAATCGCCTCGGCCATGGTCAGCGTCCAACCTCGGGCCACCTTCGATCGATTGAGTGGGAAACGATAAACAGTATAGAAAGCTTTCTCCGTTTGATCTTNTCTGCTCGGTGTCGGCGGCATGCCCCCCGATCGTGCTTGAGATGCAACCAGTCTTCCTTTGACTTAACCACTACCGGTGGTTCTCCATAACGCGCTGAGGCAATCATCTTACAATGCAACCTGTGTAACATGCACCACAGACACACTTAAAAAAGTGAATGATCATGGATGAGGTCCGTTTTAGCGGCTTGTCTTCGCTTGCATTCGCATCACCGGTGAAGTAGAGAACACGGGTCTACGTTTTGCTGCTGGGAACGTGGAAATCACAACTGCTCTCAGTGATTGGACTAGGCTGTCTGTTTGTGAGTCCTTCTTAAATGGGATTCTTGTGAATAGTTCTTTCTTGGGGGCACAGGTGCAATTTTTCTTATCCTGAGTGATCTGAATGTTCCTTTCCGGGTAACCATTGTACTGCGGCGCTTAGCCGATGACGTGTAGTTCTTCATGCAGTGTGTCTGCTGAACAAATCTTCCAGGCTCTGAAAGTTAGATATCCGACTAGATTGCGTTTATACTTCACAGGAACAAAACTATGGAGGTTGGTATATTGGCCATTCCATGTTTTCTTGCTGCGGATTTACCTATTTCCTGATCCATCTTTCCTGGACACGGCTAGATCCAAAAAGCCAATATTTTTTTGTATCAATCTCCACAGTGAATTCCGGTGATGGATGTGCATCGTTTAACGATTTCAGTTTCTGTGGGATGGAATGTTTGCGATCGATCACAGACGATAACTTCCAAATATATACCGTAGTGTGCTAATCCTTCACTATATCGACTCAGAGTGCCCCTTTCTGGTTTACTCACGTAGATGTCAGCTATCATAGGATCAAGCGGTGATTCCATGGCTACTCCGTTCATCTGACGATACACAGTACCATCAAATAGGAACTGGATGTTACGTGTCCAGCGTAATAACAGTTCCTTTAGATTTGTGACAGGAACACCAACGTCTACATTCAGTGTTTGTATTTGATCACAGATGAATTCCACTGTCTCCAGCAGGGGTTAATAAGTGAACAGTGAGACGATGTCCAAGGAATACATCGTTTTCTGTTGCAGATCTAGGTTTTCTATTTTACCTAAAAACTGGAAACTGTCTCGGAGCCTGTGTGCGGTGAGTTTCTGATGGATGGGTTCTAGTTTTTCAACCAACCACTGCTCCGATGTATGATATGCTGGATTCCCCATTGCCATGATAGGTCTTATTGGAACTCCTTCTTTACGGATCTCACGAAAACCATACAATCACGGGATAGTATACACACATGGTTTAAGTCTCTCGAATGCAGCATTGTCTATGAGCCCCTGTAACTTTAGCACCTTCAATAGATCCGTGATTTTGTCATCCGCATTTTGAGTCTTATCCTGTCATTTGTTGCATCTAGAGAAACTTTTATCTTCTGAAAGGATTTCAGAAGGCTTTCGAACTTCACTTAGTTAAATTTGTGACCTTTGTTTATCTCTCATGTGCTCTCGCCATGTTTCTCGTGAATGGACTCCCTTATAGAACATGCGAATCATCAACGAAAAAGGATTGACGCAGTTCTTATTGTATTATTCCATTATTCGTCGGCATAATAAAACCATATTCCAGTTTTTGAGCAAATTTTGATGCATTCTCTTCCTCTCTGATTCTGGAAGTTGGACAATGGAAAAGCAACAGTATTAATTTAACGGACTGACCCGTTTCGCTACACATGTGCAATCATATTTAGAAAATCATGCAATAATGAAGTTTACTGTGAGGGGTTGCAAATCCTCACTCACTATAGATTGCTGAGGATCAGAAAAGCAATGAGTCCCGGGAGTAGGATCATTGATGGATTCGATTTCGACACGCCGTCTGAAATAGATTATCGTAGAAGAGAGTACACTATCAGTAGGTTCGGATATTTTTTCAATAGTTAAGCTAAATTATATTCTTTAAAGAATCGAGCAATTTTCACACAGATTCTGTTGTATAAACAGCTGTAAAATACTCACCCAATACATAATATACGGTTACGTCATTAGAAGTATCTCTGGCTAGTCTGATAAGTTGAACATCATCTTTTTCTGGCTTCACTGGGGATTTTTCTTGTTCATCTTCTTGTTGGTCTTGTTCATTCAACTTTTTCTCAACTCCCGCACCACTGCTCGAACCAGTCTCCTTCTCGTTTGCTTTCTTTACTGATTCTTTTTTTAAACTGACATCCCCTTCTTGTTTATCTGATGATTCCGAATTCTCCGATTCTTGATCTCCTCCTCCAGTCTCTGGTTTTGCTGGTGGTAGAGGTGCTGCCGTAGCTTTCGTCGTCGCTTCTATCGTAGGTGCGGTTGTCGCATCTGAACTAGTCGTGTCAGAAACCGCACTCACGTCAATTGGTGGGCTGGATGTCAATTGGTTCGTTGGACCTGATGGACACAGCGTCTCCGATTTCCCATCAGTGGACACCTTCACACATTTGGTTCCACTCGTCGCCTATGAAAAAGGTAACTAGAACAAGTCATTCAATGTTTCACGCTTCATAGTCTCAGGTAGGTTTGTTTGAGTTGGTGTTCACTTACATTGACAAACACCTTAACCGCTTTACCGGATTCCGATTTCACACGGTACTGACAACCCGTGCCACTGCTCAATACAATGAACTTCTGAACTTCTGTCGTTGCAATAACTTCTTTACAATCCTGTGCATTTTGTGCTGGTTATAGGAAGATAAATGTCATGATACTGAGTTACTTACCGTAGATCTCACTGACACAGAACGTGATTATTAGTATTTTCACAATATTCAATTTCATTTTTGTTAGTTGTTGTGTGCTGAAAACCGCTGGCTTTTATATTATGCCTCGCAGTCATTTTTTTGGCAGGACGTTGATGATTGGTAGCTTGTTATATATACTCACGTGACTCTTATGCTACTTTTGTTCCAGATTGTTATATCCCGTTCTTGGTGCTATTATAATTTTAAAAATAATATTTAGCTCACATTAGCCCACTTACTTACATGTGTTTTATTCTCAGGCACATTTCCGTGATTTGCTTTGGTATACGAATATTTTCAAGGAAACGTGCAACACTTCGCACGTATGGAAAGGGGAATAAATGTTGAGTGCAACGTTGGTTTAGTTTGCTACCTTCACTTCTGTAAACAACCCATCGTAGGAACTGGTGTTGTTTATCAATCCTCAGTAACTGTTATTTAACTGCACACTTTCTCCTCAAAGATGATGTGATGCACGAGCTAGGGTAGAGTGATCGAATGAAGTATACCTTTAGCTTGAGCCAGCTAATCCTTATCGGTTCGCTCTCTTTCGAAGTATTTTTAATTGGGACATTCAGCCACTCTGGTTATTTATAACCGCAACATAGATATTTGCAGTCTTCTGAACGAGAGTTTGAATCCCCCTAGTTGCGTATTCCGGGTTGTCATGCGAATCGTGCTAGTTTTACTGAGTGAACTCGACACAGATGTTGAAACAATGGTTAACATGATCGGTTTCGTGAGCAATCATCAAGGAGTCCAAAATAAACAGATAATTCAAAGAGGTTAGTTCAACTTCAGGTGATCATGGAATAATTAATTCTATAGGATGAACATATTGGCACTAAAAATGTTCTGTCCTATCCCGAAAAATATAATGTGTCAGTTCACCCTTTTGGACTAGCAGATTTTTATCCAATGCTCAAATATGGTGCGCACAATGAAACTGTATCGCCATTTTATCTTCATCATCAGCAATGATGCTATTTTGATAACACGAGTTAGTTTTCTATGGAATATTTCGAACATCATCTAATTGAATGACAGAATTCTTGCTAAATATAAATGTTCGTGTCAAGGTACAAGAGACCTGTTGGTCCTGGTGATGTGAAGTTGCAGCGCTCAGGCAGTTACCTCCAGTTATTCCCATCAGCTGTGTACATACATTGAGATCATTTTGTTTAAAAGACTGGCATTTTGGGAGACCGCAACTACAAACGGCGAAGAGAAATCAATCAATAAGAAGGCCACAGATGACTAACTCGAACTGGATTGGGCATAGGAGCAGGTAGCATTACCACTGTAGGATCGGGACGAGGGTGGGTGAGAACAGTGACACTGATGAGTGCCGCTTCCGGCTGGCCACCAATTTCGTTTCGAATGCGATCTTGTTGGTCTTCGTTTCAATTAGTATACCTTATTTATATCTGTTAGCCGGTCTCCAAAGCTGTCAGCCGATAAATCACACGTGATCTTAATACAGGTTTATCTTGTGATCACAACGCTTCTCCTTTTTCCCACATACTTTCCAATCAATCCGTTTCCATTTCACAATCTATGAACTATGAGAGGCGTGTGCCGCACAAGAACTTCATGAACTGGTACACTCAGAATTTTTCACTTAACACAAAATAAGTTAAACGGCAGAGATTGAATAGCGATGGTTCAAGCTACGCTTACCTAACGAACGTCGAGATCGAACGATATATAACAGAACCGCTGCGGTTCGGAGAACCCACTTTATTTTATCAGCTCATTCACTGTGCTACATTACCTTCGGTCGTCTTATCTCTTAGTGGTAACTTATTCCGATTCGAAGGACCACCTATTATCGGTTATATGGTCTGTCGGCGTGAGACTCGATCACGTAAATAATCCACCCAGCCAGGCGGATTCACGCACACGGAATGGGTTCAAGTTTTCTTCCGTTGCTGATCCGTCCCGCTTTACTGGTGTTTGACTTTTGTGACTAATTTCATGTCCGAACCCGAAGGTTCGCCTTTCCAGCCCTGACGGAAGCACACAAATTACACACTCTCGATGGGTCCAAACTGGACGAAACGAATGTTCAGTGCTCTTTGTCGGTCATCACAAATACTTCTGTGACATGCAAATGGATTTACCTAACCGGGATTAACGGTCTCTCAAGAAATGAAACCCACATCAATGATCATCATCAGCATATGGTGCGTGTGAAAAACCGAACGGGTTAATACAAACATTCAGCGTCTAAACTAATTTCTTGTCGATTAAGAACATCACGTCTAGTATTCATGTTGAATTTCTGAGGTTGCTTCACCCTTCCAGACCATCTTCCCATTCTCATCCTCGACCTCACATAGCTCTTTTTCGCTTTGACCCCGTTTGATTTGTGATAGATGTTTTTCTGCTAAGTGCACAACTCGATGAATTTCAGGTTTCCTCAATCAGAATGGGAACTTTGGCTGCACTGAGAAAATTTCGGCACCGTTTGGAGTGAAAATCCAGGGAACATATAACCTCATCAAATTGTTGTTAAATAAGCATTTTTCATGTTGTAACGGTCATCAAGCCATTGGTATGAATAGTAGTGAATGCATTTTTCTTCACATGTTGAGCCGTTATTTTTCAATCTTTGTTGGTCGAAATGCATCTGGACTGTTAGAGACTAGGGACCATCACCAACAGAAATTATACCGGATTACAATTCATTGATTAACCTGAGCATAAACGCAAACGATGTGTTTGATTCTCGTGTGCAATAAATAGCTAATCAACCTGTATGGGAGGAAAAGATAATGTTCAAGCGATGACATGTATAGCGATGGAGTTGAAATTTTGAAACCAAGAAGTACGACACTAAGCAGCGAATCTCATGGAGTGATAACCAAAAGGACCGCTATGCATGTGCAATGATGATGCCGCGTTTTCAAACGATAGTTTTGTGAGATCCTTATTCCCAGTAGCGCTATGGAGTCGCTGTCGATCGATGTGCATAATGGCAGCATCTTGTTGTTCGAAGATAACAGGATTAGATGAAAAATAAAACCGGTAATTAAGCAGATCAATCGCGCAAAGCGAGTTCGCAGTATGGGGTAATAAAGCAATTCAGGAATATAAAGAAGACGTCGTCGATAAGAAGAGAAGTGGGAAGTTGTTTGATTTAAACACAGGGTTATTAGGAATGAAAAACTGGTTCACAAATTTTCTTCCCTATTGTTATAAATCCCTGATACCAGTAACGAACTTAGGGGAATTTTTACAAGGAACAACATAACTAGCATTCCGTTGAAGGTAATACAACAAGTCACCAAAAATAAAGCAGAACAATTGTGCGTCCATAAAATACTCAGCATCAGTGGCTGAGCAGTTCATCGGTGTGCACGTATATACTGTAGCTACATTATCGAATACACCACGTTCCTCCAGATGGCATATTTTATGTCCGAATGTTATGAGAATGTCTGAGTCAACACGTAGTAAATCACACATCCCAAAGTCAAAAACGAAATTTCAATAAATTAGTCATTTCTGGTTTGTTTTTTTGGATACGGCAGGTGTCTGTTTCCGCGTGCGAACGACGGGAACCGTCATTCTTAAATTGTAGGTGGTGAGTAATTTCGTTCATGTGGTGCACTGATGTGTTTCTCGGGTCCTGTTTCGAGTTCATCCAGCGGCACACGCATAATCTCTTCCGTCCATCGTATATTGTGAATTGGGTGACGTTCTCCGACTACTTTATATTGATCTCTTAATCTGGGGTGCAGCATCCTTGAACGAGGTTCCTTGGTAGATCCGCCTTATGTGCTGCTCCAACTTTTCGTGAGATACACCAGCCATCGCGATTGTTTCTTATTCAGTTTGTATCCTGGACTAATGCATCGTGTTTTCCCGTTTACCTTCTCAAACTTTCACGGAGCTTCCTATTCATATTTTGATTTTCTGTCAAGGTCATGTATCAGAATCGAGTTTCACAGCAACGTTCAGTTGAATTCGTGTATATTTCTGACGTGCCTCAACAAACAAGCGGCGTGTTAGAGGTAATACAGTTAGCACCTATTCCCAGTCACCTCCTGGGGCTGCAAACTTGTTTTTATTATTTGTTTTCTTTTTTGCTATGCCTCTTTCATTAGTCTATGACAAAGCAAAAGCGACGATATGGTTTAATCAAAATCCTGTCTGCAATGAATGACTCGATTGCATTCGTGGTTGTGTTTACCAACTTCATATGCGTAGATGTTATTGAATGTCCATTGATCTGGATTAATTTCAGGTACGTCTGCTGGAGCCAACATGACGCAGTCTATTTTATAGCAATATCCCTTCCGCAGAAACCAAGCAAACATGATGGGTAACAAAACTGTACTTTATTCATGGGTCGAATCAACTTGTTCAAGGTAAATTACAGGCATTCTCTCCGTTAAATTTTATTATCAATTTAATTCTTTCTTTTGTAAGTAAAATTTCAACCATTTCACTCTGTATGTATTGTCGCATCTTATTACTTCGGCAACACTTCATATTGTGTGTTTATCGCATGAACGCTGATACGTCTAAACTGAAAGTCATCTGATCATTTTAACAGTGAGGTGTGACAGAATTCTGTTTTAGTAACAAATGATTGCGTCACAATCTCAGTCTGAATGGTTGTGGTTTCAAAAAGATTGTGACGACAACGGTGCTGGATTGGCGTGAATATCAGACAGTAACAAAGAGGATTTCGCGCGCTTACTTATTGTATGTCTCACTCATTTATTGCGCGTCTGAGAACGATCCTTAAGAAGAAGAAGGAAAATACAGGAAGAACTAAACACTGCAAGGTTCGTGAGGAAGACACTAAAACGGATTTTCCTGACCGTGCGATAACACGGCAATATTCAAGTTAGTTGCTTCATTAAATTGACGCTTTTCATGTACGAATACTCATGTGAATGAGCTTGAAGTGCTGTGTGGGCCCTTCGAAGCCAGATATCAAATCAGAACAAAATTAATCCCATATTCAGGAAATCTATATAAACTCAATAACCTTTACGTCGCCGATACCACTCGGGGATAAGA